TGGCATTAGTCATACCCCCCTTGCCTGGTTCACCTCCTATCTCTCAGACCGCACTCAGTTTATCCAATTTAAATCCCATTCTTCAAGTCTCTATCCCGTTTCTGCTGGTGTGCCCCAGGGTTCAGTATTAGGGCCTCTTTTATTTATTATTTATATGCTCCATCTTGGTCATATATACCGAAAATATAATATAAATTTTCACTGTTATGCCGATGACACCCAGCTCTACATTTCTTCTAAAACCAATTCATCCCTCCCACCTACATCCCTCTCAAACTGTCTTATTGAGATTAGATCCTGGTTCTCCTCCAATTTTCTCAAACTTAACAGTAATAAAACTGAAGTTTTACTTGTTGGTACACAATCTATCTTAACTAAATCCTACAGTTTTTCCATTAACATTGAAGATTCTCCTACCCTTCCCTCCCGTCAGGTTAAGAGTTTGGGTGTCCTACTTGATAATACTCTTTCATTCCAGTCACACATTAATTACATAACCCAGTCTGCATACTTCCACTTACGTAATGTTAACCTACTCTGTCCCTTCCTTACCCCCCATGCTGCTGCCATCCTTGTCCATAGTCTTATTACGTCCCGTATTGATTACTGCAATTCCCTCCTATTTGGTCTCCCTAAAAGGTCCCTTCATAAACTCCAACTTCTTCAAAATTCACAACCCGTACTCCGTTAAGAGCTCATATTAACCCAGTTCTTCAGCAGCTTCACTGGTTGCCCATAGAAGCCAAGATAAATTTTAAAATCTTACTTCTTACATACAAGTGTATCCATAAATCTGCTCCTTCATATTTGTGTGACCTGCTCCATATCACCACTGTTTCCCGCCCTCTCAGATCATCATTAGTGATGTGTGATACCACTGATTTCCTTTCCTATCCGATACCAAGTAAAATTCAGAGTGGTATCGACGATACTGATCTGATACCGATACTCTGTACAAAAACTTAATGTTTCATTGTATTTCATAATACAATATATAATTGTATTATGTAATCGTAATAATATAGCTTCATAATGATTACAGGACATCAGACTACTTGTTCATATTGCTTAATAATGTAGAATTATCATGTAGAAATAAAAAAACTGAAGTTTTGCGCTATTTGAGCATGTTGCCTGCCTGCAGCATTAAAGGACTCTGCGAGAGACGTCTGTCTCCCCTAGCAGCACCTGTCCCTCTCCTCCTCTTCAGTTTGCCTCAACATAAGCTCATCATATTCTGTGATATGATTTGCTCTGAGGTGTTTGACTAGGTTAGTGGTGTTGCCACAATACCTCACTGTCTTGCCACATGTATCGCAAACCACGTCTTGGCCGTTTGTGGAGGTAAAATACATCCACACATGACTCCGTTCACGCTCAGCCATTGTTGTGAGTGTGCACGCCAGGGGCTGACACATTTATACAGCCGTATTTCATATATGACTGTGAAAGGCGTAAGAGGAACGATCCGAATGATATAGTTTCTTTCCACGGTGTTCTTGTTAATGAAAAACTACAAATTTACCCCAAAGTACTAAAATATCGATATTTTAATATGAGAATCGTTCTAGAACATAAATTACTGGTATCAGTTTTCAGTTTTGTCATATGCAAGTTAGCACAGGGTCAACATTGCAATGAAATGTGTTTGACGAGCAGCATGGTACAGTAGAATAAAAT